GAGCTGACATTTTTAATATACTTTGGGACTTATTCATTGGGTCAATGTTGTAATAAATAAATACCAGTATTGGAAAAAAATGTCAGAGAGTGACAGAGTATGCTGGATCTTCTCGGAGCAGTGCTCCTTAGGCTCTGAACGTGTGCTGGTAACCTTTAGATTCACATCAAGGATTTCTTACCGTTCTCACTTGTCCAGAAGTTTTGATGTGCTAATCGTTCATCAGAAGGAAGCACTCACTTCTAATGACAGAATATAGCAAATTTGAGGGAGAGGGTTCAGTTCTCCACAATCATGTTTTTGATCTGACTTCAAGAATATTTTCTTCATGTTGTCAACTTACATTCTTTTTAGTGTTGGGAACATTTGGTTTTGGAGCGTGGACATGAACTCTTTCTGTAGTGACACATGAAGTTCTAATTTGATCATTCCTGAATGCTTCATAGTAAGAATATTAATACTTTGTCTCATTCCCAGATCATTGCTCCTTTTTCAACTTTCTTTTACAATTACTGTTTTTGAAAGTCACTTGCTAACCCATGAAAAATGTAGTATAAACAAAGTCCTGGGACTGCCAGGCATGGTGAATTTCCATTGCCTTTTGACGTGGAATGTGTTGTGAAAAGTATTGGCTCTAGATCATAATTTTAGATAGGCACTTTAACCCAAATACAGTGAGTAGTTTCAAGTATGCAAATCAGTTCAGCTTTTTGGTTTTCATGTTTTTAGTACAGCTAGATACTTCTCATAATCAAGATAATGGCTCTACAGTAACTCTCATATACAATGTATTCATATTCTTAATATTCTGAATATTTAAGGTTGGATCCACAAACTATTGTTAGCATTGCAGTGTTTAAGCGACCCTGCCACCCTTGGATTCCTTAACTTGTAGTTAAATACTAAGTATTCTTGGGCAGCGAATAAGGAGCTTTAGGTATCTATAAGAATGTGGTTCATGAAAGCCTGCACGCTGTGGAAAGCCACTTCAGCTAGTGAGTAAGTAGTACATAAGAGAGATCCCAGACCACAAAGGGGAACATTCTCAGCTACACACTTTCTGCCAGTGTGAGGCCTGTAAACTAGATAAGCCCTTTTTCTTTTATGGAAAGATAGAGAAAGAAAAAAGCATCAACTCCTACAGCCAAGATATTCACCTGGGATATCATAGATTCATAGAATAATTTGGGTTGGAAGGGACCTCTAAAGGTCATCTAGTCCAACCCCCCTGCAATGAGCAGGGACATCTTCAACTAGATCAGGTTGCTCAGAGCCCCCTCCAACCTGACCTTGAAGGTTTCCAGGGATGGGGCAACCACCACCTCTCTGGGCAACCTCTTCCAGTGTTTCACCACCCTCAGCGTAAAAAATTTCTTCCTTAGATCTAGTCTTAATCTACCCTCTCTTAGTTTAAAACCATTATGTCCTATTGCAACAGGCCCTACTAAAAAGTCTGCCCCCATCTTTCTTATAAGCCCCCTTTAACTATTGAAAGGCCTCAATAAGGTCTCCCTGAAGCCTTCTCTTCTCTAGGCTGAACAATCCCAACTCTCTCAGCCTTTCTTCATAGCACAGGTGTTCCATCCCTCTGATCATTTTCATAGCCCTCTTCTGGACCTGCTCCAACAGGTCCGTGTCTTTCTTATGCTGAGGGCTCCAGAGCTGGACGCAGTACCCCAGGTGGGGTCTCACCAGAGCAGAGTCGAGGGGCAGAATCACCTCCCTCGACCTGCTGGCCACGCTTCTTTTGATGCAGCCCAGGATACGACTGGCCGCCTGGGCTGTGAGCGCACATTGCTGGCTCATGTCCAGCTTTTCATCCACCAGTACCCCCAGGTCCTTCTCGGCAGGGCTGCTCTCAGACCCTTCATCCCCCAGCCTGTATTGGTACTGGGAGTTGCCCTGACCCAGGTGCAGGACCATGCACTTGGCCTTGTTGAACTTCATGAGGTTCACACAGGCCCACTTCTCCAGCTTGTCCAGGTCCCTCTGGATGGCATCCCGTCCCTCTGGCTTGTCAACCACACAACTCAGCTTAGTGTCGTCTACAAATTTGCTGAGGGTGCGCTTGATCCCACTGTCCATGTCATTGATGAAGACATTAAACAGTACTGGTCCCGATACGGACCCCTGCGGGACACCACTTGTCGCAGATCTCCATCTGGACATTGAGCTGTTGACCACTACCCTCTGAATATGACCATCCAGCCAATTCCTCACCCACCGGACAGTCCACCCATCAAGTCCAGATCTCTCCAGTTTAGAGAGAAGGATGTTGTGGGGGACCATGTCAAAGGCCTTACAGAGGTCCAGATAGACAACATCCGTAGCTCTTCCCTTGCCCACCGATGTAGTCACTCCATCATAGAAGGCCACTAGGTTGTTCAGGCAGGACTTGCCCTTTGTGAAGCCATGCTGCTGTCTCGAATAATACGAAGTCCTGTTTTTCACTACCTACTCTTCCTCATGGGAGATTCCAGTTCTCCAGGGTCTAGCGTGAGCATCCTAGTACTTGAACTCCATTGGTATGGATTTCTTAATCCCACCTGCCAAAGCTGTTATGTTATTTCCATAACAGTCTAAATAGTCACCAGACTTGGAGTTGACTTCTTACCTGTATCAACAAAGTTGTAGATTCAGTCTCCTTCTTTCCTCTTCCCACCCTTTTCTTAATTAACACGTATATTGTAATGTAATATGATGTGGCTTACAGAGTGAAAAAGGAAAACAAAAAGATCACATCTGATTTTCTGGTATACATGAGGCTACAGGTGTGCAGGAAATCTGAATTCTTGATCCTATTTGAAAGCAGGCCAGCTGGGTCTGCTTATCTTCAGTACAAATACCTTTGAGGTGGACTTCTTGGATGTCATTGCTGACACTTGCAGGTATGTCGCACACTCTGAAGAGGTTTCCTATGTCTATATATTTATGAAGCCTGATCCAGTAAGAGTGTGAGACAAATCCTAGCTAATATGGGTTTCTGCCTGAAGCTTGAGTCCAACATAGGATGTAGGTATATGTTAGGCAGGGCTTTGCTGTTCGGCCACGTTCATTTGGCCAGTCATGCTTACTGATGGAAATTTCAGTGCCCTTGCAATGTGCGTGTTGGTGGTGTTAAGTGGCAGCTGAAAACTTCACCTGAACATAAGGTTTAATTATAAAGTAGCAGATAGGTACTTGTAAAGTGAATCTAGCCATTACATGCTACACTTGATCTGGAGGAGCCAAGAGTGCTTATTGGAAGTTACAGTTCCTGGTCAGGAAGTGCACATGAGATGTCTGTAAGTGCGACTGAAGCATGCACCAGTCTCTCCTCTGTCCTCGTTTGCACAGAAAGGAAAACTGGGCATGGGGCCTAGAGGGAAGCTGCAGTGTGCTTCAACAGGTGCCCTGATCATTCCAGGAATTCAGAACATGCCATTGCATGTTGCAGCAGATACATCTAGATGTAACACCTTCTTTTTTTTTTCATAATGCTATTAGAAAACAAAAAAAACTCTTACTAGCATCTTACTGAAGAGACAGAAGATCAGTGATCTATCTGCTTGATCTGCATAAATACATATTTTCAAAATTATTAGGTTGATTTTATAATAATAAGCTCCTACATAGAGCTCATTGATTTCTGCAGATTAAGGTCTGTAATTTGTCCTATGGATAGGTGATCTCATTAATTTATAGGTATGTTAACTTGAGCTTTGACATAACCATTTTATTATGAATTGTTGACTTCAATCCAGGCAGACCCAGTTTTATCACGTGCAGAGCAATCTAGTGTATAAACGTAAGATCGTTCTTTTTACTGCTTCATTAGTTTTATAGTAATGTATTGTAACAGGGCAGGTAGGTGCATGGTTTCTGTGCCTGGATTAGCGGTAAGGGTTTGTCTTGTTCTTTTTCTTTCCTGAATGTCTTCATGTAGATCTAATTCAGCTACCCACAGGATGAATGGGTGAACTGTTTGTTTTGTCTCAGGCCAAAGAAAATTTGAAGATCTGCCAGCAGTACTAAAAATCTTGGAAGAGGCTAACTTTTTGACTGTACAAACTATAACTGTAGAAAGAATTTCATCAGTCTTTAGCAATGACAGTTGTCAGTCTTGGTATGGAGAGGTTTTGGTTTTAATATTTTAGAGTTTTGCCTTAGCTCTCTAGTAAAAAGAATAACATTGGGCTAAAGGAGTGCATCAACAGCATGAGATAGAAGATTCGTAGTAACCCTTTCAGTTCTTCTGGGTTTATGGAATACAACCAAGTAAGTAACACTGGCCTGTCTATGCTGTGACTGTTATGCCACTGATAAAAATAGGTCCACAGTCCAGTCTGTGGCATGTGAGGAATCGTTGCTATCATCTGGAGAACACAGAAATTGAGGCTTGAGTCTTTATTTGGACTTGGAAGAAAGTGGCTGGCAGGAATAAGCTAAAACTCCCTAGTCTTTTGCCACTCAGCCCTCATGTAAGTTAGTGCTGGAAAAAAAAAGCACAAGTTGTGTCCCAGGTTCCCTAGAGTTTACTACAGCAGTTTAAGGTAAAATCAGCAATAAGAAATATCTGGCTGCTCTTCTAGTAAGTACTGTAAAGTAATTTAACCAAAAAGGGAATCTGCCTGGTAGTCTTTATTTTCATATATTTTTATATATATATATATAAAAAACCCACCCACCTTGGTTAGAAAACACGTAGATTTCAGAAAAACGTTTGTCCATGTGTGTGTGACATGCTATTGCAGCTTCAGCCATAACAGGCTTCCTTTACGCCAACATATTTCTTACAGCTATAAATCTACCATAATCACATTCATTGTTTTAGAGTGGCTATAGATAAAAGTCTATAGTTTAATAATCTGTACAAGTGATTGAAGGCTGAGGTTTGTAGATTAAAGGGTATCTAAGGTGAGCCTGTTTCTGCCCCATAGTGTGTGTGTATATCAAATGGTGTATTGAAATTGCTATGTTACTATGTAATTCCAGCGAATGCTTTTCACACTACATAAAACCCCCTGCAAAGCAAGAATGATGAAAGATTTCATTTCACTTTCAGAAATTTCAACATGAATATTCTTTACAGTTCTGTGTCTTTTCTGGGGAAAGGGAATTGACAGTGTTTTTAATGCATATGTTTCATCTCATTGGTCATGAAACTTTATGTGTATAGGTAAACACATGTATATACACATATTTATGTATATATATAAAGGAAAGAAAGAATACATTCTCTTAGAGCCTTAGAAATAAATTCATTTATGAGGGATGTTACTTACAATTGTAGATCGCAATTTAGACTTAAAGGGCATGGAACTTGATGAATCTTACAAAAAGATGTCTTCCACCCAGTCTGTTCTTTTTAAACAATTGACATAGCTTTCATTAACCATGTTGTCAGGAGATGTCTTTATACCTGTATTATATAATTTAGTTTCACTTTTACTGGTTATTTCCAATTAGCCATTCTTAATCCAGAACAAATACTGTAACACGTTTAATAGAATTTAAGACTTTTGAAGGATAATATGCTTTCTACATTACTACAGAATGAATGACAAATTTCCCATGCTTTAAGATTACAAACATAGCTATTTTGAATGCCAGCTGGATGCTCTTGGAAATCTTTAAATACAGATGATTTCCAGGTTAATGGTAGGACATTCCTCCTTACTTTTTTCAGTGAACTGACGCTTCAGAAAGCCCCTCAACCTTCACTGTTCAGCAGCTTCAGATATACCTTGGCCATCTTTTTAGTTGTGTCAGCTCAACATGGAGCCCTGTGCTTGATAAGCACATGGGCCAAATCCTGCTTGTCATCTTCTGTTTGATAGTTTATTAGGGCTTAGTGGGGCTATTTGCAAAGTTTATTAAAGAAAGAGCCCTATTTCTGACCCATGCACAAAAGTGACACTTCTCTGTATTTACTTCTTAAAAGTGTATATTCCTGTGTATATATAAAAAAAAAAAAGAGAAGAAAGGACTTTATGCAAGTGAGATAGTGCATATTAATAATACAGTGTTTGATCTAAGTGTTCAGTTAGATTTAAGCTTCAAATTTACCATGTTCCAGATTTTAGAGCATTCTGCTTGTTTACCTAAATACTTCGGTTCAGACTTAATCCCCTGTAAAGCTGCTTAATTTTCAACCATTTTTTTTTCAAAATATAAGTATTGCTTACATTGTTTATTATATGATGTGATTGCGTCCTTGTTAATCCACATTTTGAAATTACTGTTCACTGAAGTAACAATAGATTAGTGTCATGGCAATGAAGCATTTATGCTTTATTGTTTAATGTTCATTAATGGGGGAAAAAGAAGTTTTTCTAATAATATAGCCAGAAATTAAAAAAAAAAAAACTTAGAACAGATGTTATTGCTTTATCGAGTATTGTAGATGGAAAGAGTTTGGTAAGAATTTAGTGTTTTTCTTCTGGTTATATTGTTCATGTGAGCTTTGATCATAAACAGCTGAATTAAAACATGATAAAATTTGTATCTGCTTATATTATTAGAAGTGTAGTATGAAATTGGAAATATCATTGCTCTTATTTACATTTTGTAATTTGGTTTATTGCTGTTTTTCATATCCTAAAGAAACAAAAAGTAACATTCCTGTTAATATTACTATCACTGTCATGATAGTTTGTTCTGATTCATTTTTGTTTGATAGAATTTTATGATAGATACTAAACTGTATTCTCTTGAAGGTGCTGTGTGTCCTTTAATGAAAACAGTTGTCCATCATCTCAAACAAATCAACAGAGACAGTCTTGGTGTTTCAGGTAAATGACTGCATTAATATGGATATCTGAATTAATTGGCTGGTAGTGGATGTAATCATAGTCCGACTGAAGCTGGCTTTAAGACTGAAAGGACAGTACAGAATGCCACCCCCATGCTCCAAAAGCTGTTGTTTTTAGGAAGGTGGGGTTAAAATCAGAACATGGTGTTCTTTGAAAGTATTGGTTCAAGTTCTGCAGCCACGCTCATTTCCGTTGTTTTTCCCAAACATCCTTCGTTCTTATCAGTTCAGATGATAAAAGGAAATAACGAATGCATTTCTCAGGTTGTGAAGTCATCTGCTGAATGAATTTTGCACTGTTTCTCTGTCGATAAAACGAATATTGGAAGTTTCTCTGACTTAGAGTACTGGTTTTCAAAATAGCTCGTCAGTCTGTACTCTAGAAAGTCACCAAGCATGCTAAAAGTCAGTATTTACCTCTGTTTTTTAAATTCCATTAAATAAACTAAATCATTGTATCATATTTCACAGGGTTTGATCTGGCAGAAAGCTTTTCTTTGAGGCAAACGTCTTGTGGAGGGGAAAAAATCTGTTTTAAACTGGGAAGCGCACCTCTCGTCAGAGACACAAAGTAAGATACTACTTTAATTGTAAGTCTTTAAAAGACAGAGCTCAGACTAAAGCTACTAATGAACTGAAACACTGAGCAGTATATCCAAAGGATGCCACAGAAAGACAAATATATCTGTTTTCAGGCATTTTCATCTGTAACAGTTTTTTCTTCAGGAAGCATGTTGATTCAGGTGTGTTTTTCTTCTGGAATCTGGAAGTATCTAGGTAGAAAGTTAATTGCAAATATCTTTTTCTCAAATTGTGATTCTGATACTGAAAACTGTACTGTTTATACATAATTATTTATAAAACAAAGGAAACAAAGAACTTTCATGGTATGACAAGAAGCGTTATACTAATCTTCCCTCAGTGAAACTGGCTGTCCTCTCTCTCATTACTGCTGGCAGGATTAAAAAGAGAGAGTCACCATTTCCTTAAACGCTATATTTTCATGATTTTTTTTTTTCCAGTGGAATTGGCATCTTGACTTGGAGCAGCAACAGATGGTGGGTAGTCAGTGTAGGGGTGAAACTAGGCAGCATCCTACTCCGACACAGGGTGGGATAGAAGGCAGAGACCGCATGAAAAATCAAAAGGAAGGTGAAAGAGAGTAAAGTACAATGGAATCGGATGGATTTAAGTTTGCACGGGGACAAGGAAATGGCAAGAAGCAGTTAGGAATGTAGTTTCAAGTTCCCCATGCTCAGTGGAGAGAGAGAGGATCATCACAGAGCTTCTTGGTTGAGATGTGCTCTGAGTCATGGGACTGTGGTTTCTGTACAGCGTGTTCCTGCGATGACGAGGGAAGCAACTGTATTCCTGTGTCTTCAGGTTGGGTATTCTCTGTTGCAAGAGGTCTGGCTCCAGCTTGCCTAGGAAAAAATACACCCAGCCCTCGGACTTCCCCTTTGCTTGGAGCAAAGATGGGCTGTGGGTAGCATGAGGCCAGGGGAGGGGGAGAAGAGAGGAATCAGAGGCACGCAGACAAAAACCAAAATGATCTTTCGGAGAGAAGAATGATTAAAGAAATAGGACCTAAATATTCTAGATTACTAGATTCTAAGTTTTTCTGAGGTATTAGATACTGTAAATGCTAAATTTCTATGCTTGTGTAATTGTGCAAAGTTAAAGTAATTGCTGTCTTTTTTTAAATACCTTGGACATTAGCTATTGAAGGAAAAATGACTAGATAAAATTACTTGACACAGAATGTGCTCTATTTTTATTAGGACCTTCCCAGTATTATCAAGATTGTCTTTAGAAGAGGAAGAGGTAAAATTAGGTACCACCCATTCATGTCTTTACTAAAAATATTTTGAAAGTTTGTCAGTAAGAAAACTTTTTTTTAAATCCATTATTAATTTTTCAGATTTTTACAGATTTTTTCCAATGGATGGGAATTTGAGGGAAACGTGAGACTATAGAAGAGTAGAAAATCAAAGCAATAACAAAAAACATGGGGCAATTTTCCTATAGGAGTAAGAAGCTAAGTAGTGCTTTGTGTGCAGTGAAATGCATATTGCAAGCTGACTTACTTTATTCTGAAACTGTAAGAAAATCAATGGCAAAAATGGAGTGAGAGGAGCTAGAAATTGGAAAAGGGTGAATTATTTAAAATTCATATTACTTTGTGGGAAAATGGTTTAGTGGGCATTGTGGTGTTGGGATGACGGTTGGACTCAATGATCTTAGAGGTCTTTTCCAACCTTAATGATTCTATGATTCTATGAAAATTAACAATTTGCAAAGATTGACTTCTAAGAATTTGGTGGTTTTGGAAGGGGTCTGACAGGTGATGTTCAGGTTGAAAAATATAAAGCTTTTTTCCTAGCTTTTATTAGTAGGCCTGAATACTAATGTCTGTGTTTTATTTTCTTCTTGTAAAAAGAAGAAAGTGTTTATTAGTGAAGGGAGTGAAAATGGGGAATTCACGTTATGGCTGATAGCTATGGGTTAGCAAAGCCTTAACTCTTAGCGGTTGCAAGGAAAATACTTGAGAAAGACAATACTTGTTTCTTTTTTTTTTTTTACACTTTCTTTATGGAGCGGAAGAGAAATCTAACAGATTTTTTTCTGTATTTTACCTGTTCAGGTTGACTCTTTGAGACAAAAATGGCTAGTTTTTCTTCATTTTTGGTGCAACTTGGGCAGGAATAAAGAATTTCAGGAGAGGGTAAACCTGGAAGACAGATGGTTTGGTTTTAATGGTCTCTTGCTTCTCACGTTCCTCTCCCTGTTGTTTTCTTCTGTGTATCCTCATTAAAGACAAACTAAAGAGAAAATCTTCCCAGTTTCCCCTAAAAATATGCGTATCTAATGGATGAAAACTTTAGCTGGATGAAGCAACTGAGATGATTATTAATAAAATGCATAACAGTGCTAATGTATTAATATAGTTAGGCTGAAAATTAGTATCACATTATTGATGTTAATAAGGTACAAGACAAGCTTTTCAGTCAGCTTGCTGTGGAAGTAAATAGTACCTTTTACATATATCTTCCTGAAAAAAAAGGGTTAAAAGTATTTTCAATAACATTCAAGCATTGCAGAATTTGCATTAAATGCTAGTTCTTCATGGCAATAGTCTTGCTCATGCTTTTTTAACCTTTCTTCATAGAGAAATGCATGTCATAATTAAGAATAGAATTTACTTTTTTTATTCAATATGTTGAATATATAATAGCTTTCAGTTGTTGAGATAATTTTTAAAAATCTTGTCTTAAGTGTTATTTGTTTAAAGTATTTTTGATACTCTTCTGAACTTCTGAGTCGTTTTTTAAAAATAAGGGCAGAGGGCAGTCAGGAGCACAAAGTCAGGTTTTGACGTGGTAGGGATACAACGAAGGATAGTCAGGAACTCAGATATCTGTCATCATAACGGTGTAATTTACTTTATCTCAGTTATCCATGTAAATATCTTGTAATTTATTATTTTTATTTAAATCTTCTTCTCTTACATTATGTCAGATTGTGTGGTTCCAGACCCCTTGTGTTATTAGACGCACAGAGGTTTTTAGGATCATTCCGCCTCAGAAAATATTTTAGTAGACGTGGTGTGCAGTAAGCAGCAGAACAGTGTTTGTTATCCATCCTGCAGGAAACTGAGAGTATCTGATTAAGCTGACTAGCAAGTATCAAGTAACTTGGCACATCTCCTCTTGCATTTCATTCATTCAGTCGTAGTGTGGGTAATAGAAAACTATGCTGTGCCATTTTTCTTGTGTGATGCCATTTTGGGTTTTTTTTTTCAATGGACCTGGAGTAGTGTTGCACCTATTTATATGTTGTAAATAATTTACAATGCAATGTCAGCTTGGGAAATCGATTATGTCTATTTGTGTTGGATTTTAGTTATATCTTTTATCTTTATCTCTTTTTGTGAGGGAGTTCTGTATGTATTTTGCCTTGTGATAGGAGATGGATAGCTTTTCTTATGCTCCATGTAAATGACTATTAAATATTAATTTAATTCTAATAATATTTTCAGGATTAAAGAGTGATTTTTGAATTAAAATACTGTGAGTTACTTATTGCAATTCTTACGTGGACTTTAATAGAAGTTATTCCTGAGCTAAGTAGTATAACTGAGCCTTTGAATCCTAGAGAAATTCACAGTAAGATACCATTATGCAGACAATCTAATTATATAGTCATAATAATAGTAAATGTATAAGGTTTTAGTTTTATTTCAATAAATACATTATGGAGTCATATTTTGTTCTCTAGAGTTTAACACGTACTGCCTATGCAGTGTATTCCAGTTTGGCATGGAGCTTGTAGAAAAAAGCAGCACAGGGCTCTGTGCTGATAGCGACTCCTTTAGATCTGCCAGCAGTATTCAGTACTTCTGGACATCAGGCCTTTTAGGCTAATCTTTGTTCTTTAGTTGCCTTAGAGTAAATAGCACTATGATGAAATAATTTCACTGTCCTTCTCTAAAGATGCATCAGACGTCAGTTGTTTCTCATTCTCACTTTTCTGGGTTGCTGGTGGTCCATTATTTTTCTCCTCTGAAAGCGCCAATAAAGGAGATAGTAAGTTGATTTCGGCTGAGTTTCAGAATGTTTTTGAAATGGATGTTTATGATTAGCAAATCTTAATGGCGCAGTCACGGCTTTCTTATTTTATAGTTTGGCTTGACAAACCATATTAATTTACTGAGGAGATTATCATAGCTGGCTGTTAAATGATCTCAGAGTTACAGCAGTTGGGATTACTCTCACGACTTTTTTAGGAATTCTTCCCCTTTCAGTGTAAGATACTGCAAAAGAGCTTGGATTTTGACTGTATTTGGACTACTGAGCTCCATCAGCAATGTTGTCACTCACTGCTGCCAGAAGAGCTGTGGCTTGGGCCACGTTTCAGAGAAAATGTTTCACCTCCTTGTGATGTCTAGTTACTGGATGCAGAAATACTGTTCCCACTTCTGTCAGTATATTCCAGGCTGGAGGATTCTTTCTGCTAAGAACAGAAATCGATGATAAAAGAATATTTATGTGGGGTTTTTTGTTTGTTTTTAATGCTAACCTTCTTAATCACAGAAAATGCATAGGGAATTGCATTTCCTAGAGCACAGCTGGCATCAAGCGAGGCAGTTTCTGTGCTCACCGTTAGAAGCCTTTTCATAGCTAGCACTTTGCTCCCTGAAGGCACCTATCTCTGGGTGGCTGTGCAACCATTTACTTTGCCGTATGTTCTCTGGTTGTATCTGCTGAGACTTCTTTCTTCACCAAAATAATAAATACCGAGTTCCTTGCATATGACTTCAGCTGTCAGTGAATGTCCACATGGGCATGATTTTTGATCAGTTTTGCACATGGCATGTGTTTTGGGCAATGGAGTCAGGTTCAAAAGTCTTCTTGAAAAATATTATTAAGATATATATTAAGAAGTAGTATACCTATTTCTTAAATACAGTATGGAATGGATATATGTGAAAATCACGTTTCCAAATGATTTCATCAAAAACTTTTGAAACATCTACTGAAAATGGCAATGAGGTGGCACCCCTGTTTGGAG